TGTGTGTGTGTGTGTGTGTGTGTGTGTGCATATTTCTATATTCATGTAGATGTCTGCAGGCAAAAGTTTGTATATAAATATTTAAAATTAGCATATAAGTAAATCAACATAATTTACATTGTGTACTAGTGTATATAAAGGAATATATGCATATAAGTTGTTATAGAAAGTAAATGTTCACTGAATATTCAGAAAAAAAACCCATATAAAATATTTACGTAAATGCTTATTTGTTTATCTGTTTAATATACAGTTCATTAATCGTTGTTTTTATGTCACATATATAAGAATTTTGTTTTTAAATCATAATAGACATGAAGAAAATTTGTATATTAATGACAAAAAGAGATGTCTGCATGCAAATGTATGTATATAAAAATTGTAAATGCTTTATATTGTAAACATTTAGTAAATAAATAAATCGTGATTTTTATATAGTTATAAATGAACATGAAACTACATGTTTATACAGCACATGTTTATGCATATAGTATAATGTATAATGTAGTATAATGCCAGTGTAAAATGTCATGATTACTTCAATATAGTGAAAATGTTCTGCTGCACAGTTTTACATTAAAATTGAAAAAAGTAAAAACAAATATCTGTGATAATTGTAGCAAATATGAAATCCCTCTGTAATGTTGAACATGATAAGAAGTACAAAACTTTATTTTTGGACTTTCTACAAACATTCACAAAAACACTGTTACCTGAGGAGTGCGGGCGGTGGGGCAGGTAGGCAGTGGGGTAAGGGGTGTGTCTCCCAGGGTATCCATGGTGTTTATAACCATGGTGATGATGTGATGTCAGCGGGAGGCTGCTGCCATAAGGAAAAGCACCTCCTCCTCCAGCTGAGCACAGCGACCAACCTTACACACCAAAGCACACACGCAAATATTTGTTTACCTAAAATGTATCGATAGTTTGTTTTTTTGTGTCAAGAATAGCAAGAAATATATACTTACACAAAAATAAAAGCACAAGAAAAGTAAATGCTCAGAAAAACTGTTTATAAAAAAGGAATAAAATATGCTGTTAAAATCAAACACTTTCATAGATTCATAAATTTCATACCATGGAAATAAGATTTTAAATTTTTCCCACAAAATCTGATTTTTATTTTAATCTTCAAATTAAATTTCAAAAAGCATAAAAGTCCAATGTTTTTATTTCGATATAAACTATGAAAAAATGTAATTGTCTGTTTCATGAGGCTATATAAAGCTGTGAACTCACAGGACTGAATCCCAACACGGCCCTCTGATGGCTCAGGCAAACTCCGCCCACCTGGGATCCTGAGGAGGATAAATCAAACACAGCCATCAAGACAATGTGAGTTTGTGTGTCTGTGTTCAGATGTGTGTGTGGTTTATATTGTATAGAGTCTCTCACTTGACACCCTCTCTCCAAATGAGTGAGACGGTGGAGTTCATAATGACTCTCTAATCGCCTGCTAACGCTAACTTCCTCTGTTATCCTGGTGAGAAATGCTAAGCGTTAAGTGTAAAGTGTCAGCAGTCATTGCAGGCACATGGCTGTGGTGTAAAATATCTCTGGATGGGACAGAAATCTGACTCATCCACAACTGCACACTCATTATATATGACATACTAGATCTCACAGCTATTGCATTTAATCATGAGTTGATTTTACAACATCATTTGTTTATGTGGAGATTTTGCAGTGATGTTTGGGTCCCCTGATCACAGTTTTCTATCTCAGTGAGTAAAATATAAGCTTAAAGTGAAGTATGTCTTTATCTCCACCTTTTACTTATTCAAAATAACAAAAAATGAAAAGAATTGTCTAAAGATTTATCATGATGTTTAGTTTGGGAGCTGAGAGCCTGACCTCTTGAAGTCAACCACTTTGGATACTGAGGTGTGTTTATCACCACTCCAAAGTCAGCTGAACCACCCTGAAGCTCTTCGGTAGTCAAATGCCCTTTTAGTCTTGCTAACAATCCTTCCATCAGTTCTCCCGCAACCTTTTCTTGGTACTGAAAACTAAAAGGCACAGAACATTTGAGATGGTGCATGCTCTTGTCATAAATACTACCTACATTTTAATTTCTATGCAGATGATATCCAACTTTATTTATCTATGGTGCCGAAATTATTAGTTAAACTACAGCCACGACTTAAGGACATAAAGGCCTGGATAACCTTTAAATGCACCCCAAACTGAGGTTGATGCACCTGGGCCTAAAAACGTTATGGAGTCTAACCAGAAACTTACTCTGAATGACCATACTTTACATATGTCTCAGAGCTATGCTGAAAGCTAGTTGACTTTGCAGAGGTGAGAGCACATTTTTGTTCTCTTTTAAAGACCACCCTGCACCACCAACCAAATAAACAGGTGCCCTGCTGGTCCAATCCAGTTTTAACTCCCTGCTAGTGAAGACAAAACCCGACCATGATGGATGAGCTATAGTTGGATCTATTTTTAATGTTATCTGTAGTACAGTGAAAGTCTTCTGCCGTGTGTTACCAGCATGCAGGAACTTTGATCAAACAGAGCTGTTCTACTTCTGTAGAAGTTATCTGGTGCTTTTAACGTGAAAATTGCCGTACAAATAACTCTTGCTTTCTTCATGATAATTACTTTAAATGCTCTGAAAACCTAATATGAGAAACAGGACATTTTTAACCCTTGTGCAATCCAGCTATCTTTGCAACTAAAAAGCAAAATTACAGTGAAGTCATCATAGTCATCCGTTGTTTCTAACTCAATCTGAAAAAAAAGATCTGGTTGGCAGAAGCGTAATATTTCAAAGATTTTGTGTAGAAATGCACAAAACATTTAGATTACTGAAATATCTAAACACTGTCATAATGAGATACCTAATTATTGAATATATACCAGCAAAGGGGCTAATAAATCAAAGCCCATTGTGTTAAAAATGTTCATATTTCACAGCTTTCCATTCTCCGTGGCAAATTAATGTGGAAAATCCTGTAAAAATCTATGAAAAGTTTTGGAGGCTAGATTTATGTTTTTATAATTTAAAGTATCACAAAAGAACATAGAAATACACTATATGGCTACTGGGTCTCTTAAAGGGTATATCCAGTTTAAAAGTCAGATTAAAGTGTTTGGATGCTGTTGTTGTGTTGCTGTGCAGTGTTACCTCTCTTTGGCATCCAGAAAGGCTTTAGCGAATGGGTTGTATTTGATCTTTAGGGCTGTGATCTGCACAGAAAAACACAGAAACATCCACATCCTGTTACGTTATTTTACACTCGAGAAGAACAGAGCACCTCAGCTGTGAAATGTTAAATGACTTTTATGCATAACAGTCCATTTATTCGACAGAGGCTTCATCTTTCATTGATCTGTTCATTTGCAAGTAATTTCTCAATCAGGCTTCTAGATGAATATCCATTTTCATGTCCACTTATTGTATTATTTCACAGTTCTGTTTAATAAATTCTTCCTCTGTTTCGATTTGAATAATTAGTGTGTGTTCCCAATCTGTTTTTATTAACTGTGATCTCAATAAAATGAGAGAATAGATTATTAATAACCTGAACGTGACCAACTAAGTAAGGGTTTGCTGTTGTAACATTAAAAATGGAATATATTATACCCTTAAAAACTGATTCATCTCATTAAATTAAACAGATTCAGCTGGTAAAAAAAACTCTGAGCTTTACCTTTTTTTAAAACTAAATCAGACGTCTGAGCTTTACCTTTATAAAAAATTTCATACATTTGTATTCAAATGTTTTTTTCCGATTAAAAGATGTTGTGTTGTGTTTCTAATTCCGAGTCTGTGTCCCACAAATCCATATTTATTAAAAAGGTAATTGAAAAAAGAAACACTGTCCAATATTTCATGACACTTAACCAGCATTAAATCTGGTTAATTGGAATATTTGAGCAATTTTAGCTTGCTGGTGTTAGCTTTAACTTTGATATATCAAAATCAGCTTCAATTTTTCAAGAATTAGAACAAGTATAGCTGTGAAACTAGTTCTAGTTCACACCCAAACACCAAATGATATTGAAAATAGAACATCTTTTGTACCTCTTCATTCTGGTAGGCAGTGACGGCGATGAACTGCGTTTCTTTGAAGGAAACGTTAGAAACCAGTCGATGGCGAGAGCCAACACACACGATGTGGAGCTGAGGTTCATACTTATGGAGAGAATTCAACATAATCTGGGAAAATGAAGACAATTATTTCTACATTTTCCCATCATTTATAATTATTTAGACCAAGATTATTGTACATTTTTCCTGCACCTAAATGCTTTTATCTAAAAGTATTTGGCCCCCTTGAACTTTTCCACATTTTGTCACATTACAGCCACAAACATGAATCAATTTTATTGGAATTCCACATGAAAGACCAACACAATACAATTACTGAAAAGTGGGGTGTGCGTAATTATTCAGCCCCCTGAGTCAATACTTTGTAGAACCACCTTTTGCTGCAGTTACAGCTGCCAGTCTTTTAGGGTCTGTCTCTACCAGCGTTGCACATCTAGAGACTGAAATCCTTGCCCATTCTTCTTTGGGACAGCTCCAGCTCAGTCAGATTAGATGGACAGCGTTTGTGAACAGCAGTTTTCAGATCTTGCCACAGATTCTAGATTGGATTTAGACACCAGACAGGTCAGGGATAAAGTTATTGAGAAATTTAAAGCAGGCTGAGGCTACAAAAAGATTTCCCAATCCTTGAACATCCCACGGAGCACTGTTCAAGTGATCATTCAGAAATGGAAGGAGTATGGCACAACTGTAAACCTACCAAGACAAGGCCGTCACCCTAAACTCACAGGCCGAACAAGGAGAGCGCTGATCAGAAATGCAGCCAAGAGGCCCATGGTGACTCTGGACGAGCTGCAGAGATCTACAGCTCAGGTGGGGGAATCTGTCCACAGGACAACTATTAGTCGTGCACTGCACAAAGTTGGCCTTTATGGAAGAGTGGCAAGAAGAAAGCCATTGTTAACAGAAAACCATAAGAAGTCCCATTTGCAGTTTGCAACAAGCCATGTGGGGGACACAGCAAACATGTGGAAGAAGGTCAGATGAGACCAAAATGGAACTTTTTGGCCAAAATGCAAAACGCTATGTGTGGTGGAAAACTAACACTGCACATCACTCTGAACACACCATCCCCACTGTCAAATATGGTGGTGGCAGCATCATGCTCTGGGGGTGCTTCTCTTCAGCAGGGACAGGGAAGCTGGTCAGAGTTGATGGGAAGATGGATGGAGCCAAATACAGGGCAATCTTGGAAGAAAACCTCTTGGAGTCTGCAAAAGACTTGAGACTGGGGCGGAGGTTCACCTTCCAGCAGGACAACGACCCTAAACATAAAGCCAGGGCAACAATGGAATGGTTTTAAACAAAACATATCCATGTGTTAGAATGGCCCAATCAAAGTCCAGATCTAAATCCAATCGAGAATCTGTGGCAAGATCTGAAAACTGCTGTTCACAAACACTGTCCATCTAATCTGACTGAGCTGGAGCTGTTCTGCAAAGAAGAATGGACAAGGATTCCAGTCTCTAGATGTGCAAAGCTGGTAGAGACAGACCCTAAAAGACTGGCAGCTGTAATTGCAGCAAAAGGTGGTTCTACAAAGTATTGACTCAGGGGGCTGAATAATTACACACACCCCACTTTGCAGTTATTTATTGTATTGATTTTCGTTCCACTTCTCACGTGTACACCACTTTGTGTTGGTCTTTCACGTGGAATTCCAATAAAATTGATTCATGTTTGTGGCTGTAATGTGACAAAATGTGGAAAAGTTCAAGGGGGCCGAATACTTTTGCAAGCCACTGTATATATATACGTACTGGAATTTCAAGTGTCCCTTTAATTCTTTTAAGCTGTATATTCATTTTTCCATCTTTACCCATTTACACACATCTAAACATTTTTATATGTTTCTCAATTTGTACCTGTTCGTATCTCTCTATATCCAGTTGTAATTGTCTGAAGCTACCTCTATCTGCTACTATCTATCCACCTTTTTAGAGGTTTTCAGTCATCTATAATATTTTTATATGCTTTCGCCCAATTATCTATATTCATTAACACCAGTTTGTACTCATCTATAATGTTTCCATTTCAATTAAATTCAATTCAATTCAATTTATATAGCGCCAAATCACAACAGCAGTCGCCTCAAGGCGCTTTATATTGTACAGTAGATCGTACAATAATAGATCCCCCGTCATCTATAATGTTTCCATTCCCCCGATACCTGCTTGTGTCCATGTATATTATCGCCCATTCATAAATGTAACCATCTATATCTGGTTGTAACTGCCTACCTCATTCTATCCATACTTCAACATTTCCTATCTGACCTGTTTAGTTCATTTCAGTACTTTTTTACTGAAGTCCATTCTCTCTGAAGAGATCACAAGCCTCACGGTAAAAACTCGGCTCTAAAAGTTTGAAAAAGTCCAAACAGCTCTGTACTTTTGAATCAATTAACAGAAAACAAAGGTAAGTGTAGTTTTGTCAGTCAGTCAGTTTGTCAGTTTGTCTGACTGCAGGAGAGTTTATGGAGTGGAGCCATCTTTGTCTTTTGGCCAAAACACTCTTTTATCCATCTGTCTTTTCTATCTCGTCCATCTCCCCATCAACCCCCCCCAAACCCCCCTCCCCTCGCTAATGAGGCCCAATTAACCAATCCGAGTTCTCCGGGCGGACACACAAAAACAAACTGTTTTCTATTCAGATTGAGAGGCTGGCTTCAGATCTGACCCCGGTGCTGTGTGTGTGCTGGCAGTGCCCACATTAGCTGGAGTGTGTGTGGGCTCTTTTTGAATATAGTTTACCTCTCTCTCCCTCGTCCATCTGAAGCATGATGGGTAAATTAATTTCCCAGTAAAAAACATAATTACCATAATGTACAAATAAGCTGAGCAATTATTTCATTATGGCCGAGCTCTCTGTTCCAACTCTGCATTACTGCCCGGTGTGTGCGTGTCATGTTTGGACAGGGATAATGGGGTAAATATAAACAACATTATTGCCAATTTTGTAGTGCTGTGCACGTGTGTTTGTGTTTGTGTGTGCGTGCGTGCGCATGGAGGCCTCTAAGAGTGCTGAACAGCTCTCGACAGGAAGTGCATTAAACTGCTGCTGGCCAATTAAGAGCTGTTTATCCCGTTCCCGTGGTTACGAGGGGGCGAGCAGGTGAAGTGAGCGGAGAGAGGGACTGAAGTGGCTAATTAGAGGCGGTAGTCTCTCGCCCACTTCAATACAATACAGAGGGAGGGAGAGAGAGAGAGGGAAAGAGACGGAGACTCTTGACATGAACAGCAGGATAATGGACTCAAGAAGAAGAAGAAGACGGAGATGCAGAAGGAATACAGGAAAAAGTGTGGTAAAAGTGAAAGAGAGGGAAAGGGAGAAGAAAGAGAAGAATGAATAGTAGAAAATTACGAGAACAAAAAAGAAAGATTGAAAAAAGAAAACACTAGATTAAAGAGAAGAATAAAGTACTGAAGAAAAAAGGAACTACAAACAAAACAAAGAAAGCAAAAATCAGCAGAACAGAAACAAAAAAGAGAACAAAGGAGAGAAAGAAAACGAATAAGAAATCACAGGAAAGAAAAAAAACAACAATTAAATAAAAACTGAAAATCTCAAAAATATATGAACAGACTGGATAAAAATCAAAGTATGAATGACTGCAGAAAGAACAAGTAAACACACAAAGAAATCAATGAATGAAGACATGCAGATTTTCAGGCTCTGTTCCACCCACCTGTCCTCCTCCATTCACCTTGTTGGTGAGTTTGACCTTGTTGAAGGACACGGCCGCTTTCATCCAGTGAGCGCCGAAGTTTGGCGAGTCAGGGTGGATGTAGATGCCACCTTGGCCCCGGCCTTCGCTGCGGCTTTCCGCCCGGCCGGCCGCCACCCACTCCCCGTTTACAAACTTCCAGCGGCAGCTGTCAGCCGGGACGAAGTCCAGCAGGAAGGAGTACATGGAGCTGGGGTCCAGGCCAGAGACGCTCACTTTCAGCACTGGGAACATGCGACTGAAGAGAGACACACAGCTTGATTAAAGGGGAAAGTTTATGTTCACTCACAGAACCCAAAATAATAACAGAATTATGGGGCCAATACCAATTTTAATGCATTTCTTCTTACATTATATTGTAAGTTTATACATAGATTACACACATTGCCTATACATATGAATGTATCTCTATGAAAGTTTTATTGAAGTTGAAGTTACTGTAACATACATTGCTGAACATTTAATCAACAAATTAGTCAGCAGCTTATTATAAAGATATGTTTTGACTTTGCTCACCACCTGCTCAGCTGTGGGAGCTGTTCTGCTATTATGTGATTGCAAATCTGAATTTACAGTTTCAGTTTCATTCTTTGGTTCAGTTTTTTTTAAGTATAACCAACTATAATGATAAAGTTATTTATGTCAACCTGAAGATTGTCCGACTTTTTTTCTCTTTTAGCTCCATTTTTGGTCACCACCGGCACCTCAGATAAATATCCAGGTTTTAAGCTGCGAAAGGATCCACAGCATTTTGTTTTGCTTTATGTTTTGGACTTTAGATGAAATTAAATATATACACAATATAACGTTTCATATAATGAATACATTTACAAACAAATACAAAATTATTGCAACTATTAAACTACATACAGATCAAACTCAAATATTGGGAATTTGTGGATCTGTTAAAAACATTCCAGAAGCCAACAGTAAATTTGAATAGTTCTATAAAACGTCTGTGATAATTTATCACAGTCACACATTTAGTTAACAGATTAATTTTTAAACTGACAGAATTTTCAGCTGCACTGATACACAGATAGTTCTTCCTTGTAGTTTCTCAGGAGTGAGGACTTTCTTGAGCTTTTCTAGGAAAATAGTTCAGCTTTGAGAGTTGGTCAAAGAAAACATGTAAGAGCCAATTTTCAGAAATTTCTGTCAAATTAGAGATAATGATTTATATATAACACAAATAATTGTTGGATGGAGTTTTAAAAGTAAACAGAATCCAAAAAAGTCTGGTACTGCAATTTTTTGACAATTGTGCCAAACAGCTGAAGGCTGTATAAAGGCATTTTAACAATACCAGATTTTAAGGACTTTAGAGAAAATGTCTATAATTTTCAGACTAGTTTTTCTCCAAAGAGCCTCCTGACACTACGATTCCACCCCCATTTTATTCTCTGAATATACCTTATTCTTTATTTTTCATTCTGACTGGTTGACAGCGGTACAGCCAACAAATGCATTTCTTCGATAACCATCAATAACAACTGATGACTGATTAGAAAAATCCTTACCAGAGCTAAAATTTGTTACAGGCAGCATAAACTATGACAGATTATGATAACCAACCAACCATCTCTGCATGTGAATATAAATTTATCACCGTATGTTAAAAATACCAAAGTTTCCATCCTTCTAAAGCTGCTTTCAGACAAACAGTCGGCTCTCCAGCAGTAACAGCAGTTGAAGTGGCGTCCTGCAGGTGTAAATGGAGTGTTTGCCCACCGCAGGGCGCGACTGGTCAACACGCCTCGGCTTGGCACAAAAAAAACACAAAATGAAACACACAGAGGCGATGATAACAGCTGCTATCGAGACTAATGAATAACCCCGGTTAACAGCAGCACTGATCGGGAGTCAGCTTAAAACAGGGACACTCTGTGTTAATGTTTCTCCATCTCTGTGGTCATTTTTGCAAAAATATTCAGAAATCAAGTATCTTCTAAAACGAGCCATTATTTGTAGAAATATGGGTAAGATTATGTTTTTAGCATCACAACAAAATAACAAATCTCTGCCAAACAAAGTACAAGTTGCCACATCTGCTCAGAAGACCACCAACAAAACTCAATTTAGAAAAAACAACAACATAATTTTTCAAATATTTTCTTCTTCAAGCTTGTTTCTCTCATAAAGCCTGAATTGTATATTCATGCTCAGAAAGAATATGGTGTATCTTAATGCCACTGAATTGAACATAATGATCTTTTAATGTCTGATTTTTCTGTTTCTAAACTGGCTGACTAGGAACAAAAGTTGATTAACTCTCACATAAAATGTTAGCATGCTACTGTATCATTCATTGACTGCTGATGCCAATGAAGTCATTAACTTATTATCGCAAAGTCACAAGTTGAAGCACTAGAAAGTCCTCCTAATGTTACCTTCACAGGGAGTAACAGAAATGCCAAGCTAAAACTGCCCGAGTAAACTTAGCAGCATTATATGGATCATAGCTATTTATAGGGCCGGTTGTATCTGAAAGGCTCAGTTTTTTGTTTTTATTTTCACACTGACTAGTTGAAAGTTGCAAAGAACTGTATCTGTGTTTGCTAAATTACATTTTTCATTTGCAGACTTTGCTGACAAGAAAAATCAATTCTGTCAGTTTAGGAAAAGACTGAAAATTGCCTTTTTATGATTTTCTAACATGTTCATTACTGAATACTGACGGTAAAGACAAAAGTTACCTGATATAATGATCTGTTTCCTGTTGGCTGTCAATCTGATGGCTGTTGACAATGTACTTTCAGAAAAGTACTTTACTGATATTACGTTTAACACATTCTATATCTAGAAAGTATTAAAGACCATAAGTACTGTCCTTATTACCTCTATAACTTCAGAAAAAACTTCTCACAACTCCTAAATTATATCTGGACATTCTCAAAGCTATTTATCACTTCTAAATGAGCCAAACTCTTCTGATTTTCTTCCGAAAAGTCTTACAACACAATTAGAAAACGTTACTAATTGCATCCATAACTTCTCCAGAAGATCCTCAGAATCAACAAGGACTACAAATATCAGATGTCAGTCTCCCTAATAGCCTCCAGAGCTTCTTGTAGGCTTCTGAAACATCCAAAAGTATTTGTGGAATACTTTTTGGAGTAACTTGTTGATTTTTTTTTGTGGAAATCTCTTCAATACCTTCAAAATCTAAAGAATCTCCTCTAAAGACCTAAAAAAAAAATCTCCTGAACTAACTCAAAAACGTCTTTGAGACCTCTACAATCTCAACAATGGCTATCCAAACCTCCTCTTGTGAACACCTCTAAAACCCAAAACAAAGAGACACCCAGTATCTCAGCTGGCTACTTATGAAGGCTTTGTTTAGGAGAAAACATGTTAACGTGTTTTTTCTATCAATGTAGAAAAGTGGGTGAGGTGGCTGCAGCTCAGGAGGAAATGTAGGTCATCTACTAACTGAAAGATTGGTGGTTTGATCCCTGCCTGCTCCAGTCTACATGCCAAAGTATCCTTGGAGGAGATGCTGCACCCCAAGTTGCTCTTTGATGCAACTATCAGTGTCTGAATGTTACAGAGAAAACGCTTAATCGTAGAAAATGTGCTTTCATGAATTAGTCAGTATAAATGAGATGTTCTATAAAGCACTTTGAGCTCTGCAGTAGAGTTGTAAGGTGCTGCAGAAGAATCAATTTATTTACCATTTACCCAAACGCCCTTGAGATTCACATGTTGATCAGCAGTAAGACTCAAAAAAGTAAACATTACTTAACGCAAAGTCTCTAATTGAAATGCATCCTGAGAATCTCTAATTCAGGTGTTTATATCCAGCTATTTTTGTTTATTTAAGAAACGTCATTTATATTGTAATTTGTTCACCTTTTCTTTCAATTTTCTAAAGTATTCTGAAGCTGTAAATAAACTTTTGTTTCCACTACCAGGTGCTTCCTGAATAACTAACAGTTGCATTGAAGGAGTGAAGTTTGTTCATGGAAGTTTGTTAATTTGTAGCAAAAATCTGAGAGCAGTTACCGTCCATTCTTGGTGACGATCATCTCGTTAGTGATGTGCTGGAATTTCCTCCACAGCTCGGCATCCTCTAACGTCACCCTCAGTTCCCGCTCTGTTGGGTCGCCCTTCTCCCGGCCGGCCTGCAGCTCGCTCTCCACGGCGCTCAGCAGCCGCGACATGCAGCGTTCAGCCGAACCGGGACTGCACATCGACCCACCAGCACCAGTGGCACTCTGATCTACAGATGACACTGAACCAGACCCTCCATCTTCCTGTAACCCCTCCACCTTCATCTGCAAACCCGAACAAAGACAGATTCAATCGTGATGAGTTTTACAGTTTTTATAACATTAATTTCACTTGAGTAAAGATGTTTGGATTATTTTTTAGTCTTTAGAAACTTGACAATGCAATCTGATCCACCTGAATATTTTTATTTTACTAATTTAGTCCACTAAGCGTAAATTTTACCACAAAGTATGATTCTTGTCTCAATAGACTGAAGAACACAGCAGTACTTCAAATAATGGGTAAAAAAACACAGGCTGTATTTCTTCATATCGTCTCTTAGAGTCTGTTTTGTTGACCGCACTGAATCTCAAACATGGTATAAATTATGTTTTATTTGCTATAATCATAGATCAGGTTTCACTGAATGTTGAAGACCTCACACATTCTTGATGAGTTTCTCAATTTTTAAAAGACCTTTTGACATTTCAAACTACATCCTAAATACAATTGATCATTGAAAATGATCAGGACCAAATCATATAACCATGGTTTTATATAATTTCTTAATAACACCTCTTTAAATTATACCAGCCCTCTAACGATCAGATTACGCTTCACTGCTGCATTTAACAGGTGATTAGTAAATCCCACTGAAAACAAAATTTTCAGTCCAGTCCACTTTGAATTCATGCTACAGGTTTCAGTTTTTTTCTAAGCCACATAATCAGTTTAACTGAATGAAAAATAAAAAATGAGCTGACGTTATTGTCATTGTTGTAGTTAGCTGGAGGACGGTGTCAGCTACCCGATAAACCCATATTGTTCCTGAAAATTTCTGCATTTGAAAATAATAGGCTGAATGCAGGTGGGGAATTTCTGGACCAAAGAAACACAAAAAATAAGCTCGTTTTAGGAAGCAGTTTATCTGTTGTTTATTTTTGAAGCTTTTAAACAATCAACATTGTTTGATATGAAAGGAGCAAATGAAATGTGCTATAATCTGATGTTTGATTGTTCAGTTTAAAGGAATCTGAATGAAATAAAAGGTTTATTTATTTTTCCAAGTTGCTCTTGAATAGAAACCTTCTTTAACTGCATCATTTAATTTACAGTGGGTTCACAGACTGAAAGTGACACAAAGGGGTCAACAAAATTGTAAAGTCTTTTACTTTGTCAGTCAGAAGCATCTGCACACCCGACACCATTTGTCTTTCAATGAGACTCTTACTTGGCTTCTAGTATGGACCTGGAAGGAAACGATGCCTGAAACAAGAATGAAAATGAAGGATAAAAACTTAAAACACATACCTTTAAACACCATCAGTAGATCGATTTATTGTATTGTCATGTCCATTTATGCACAGTTATCACATGCAAATTGGGCAAACTGAACTAATGTTTTCTTTTTTAGGTTTATGGATTTGTTTGCCTCAAATTGCTACATAGTTCACAGCATAGCAGTGTATTTAGTGCATAACATGTCATCTGTACACTTTGGGCTGATGGCTTGAATGAACTCTGTTTCAAAAACAGGACGTTTGATCAAAATTTTACCAACAACAAAACCCAAGATTGTGAATAAGAAGGAAAAATTGGCTGTAAGAAAATGTCAGATATTTGGATACGAAACTTTGAAAACCTACCAGAAAGAATTTACTCTGCAAACAATTAAAATATAGATTATTAGCATGCAGAGTCTACCAAAAATCACCTCTGAGATCTGTGGATTTCAGCTGGTTTCTTTTCTTTTTTATTCAAAAGCTTCCTTTTCTAGCTTTTCTTTGTCCTCTCAGACAGCAGACCCTCCAGCAGAGAAAACACACACAGGATAAAAGTGGGGATAATAAGCAGAAGTTAACAGACATTTAATGGAGTATAATTTTTCTGTTAGTTTATTTTCTGTCTGTTAACACTGCTGCTGTTGTTAGTAACCACTTTAACCACAGGACCTTTTAAACCCCACTGAGGGTGATTTAATACCTGCCTCATGATCAGAAATAGGAAAAACAAAATCAATATTGTCATAATTTCCCAGTTCTAGTTAATAATAATAATTAGAAAATTGACCAAATTAACCTAAGATTTGTTTGAAAATGTTTGGGGGGGGAAAAGACTTTCCTATTTGTGTCAGTTTACACCAGGTCAAAGAAACATCCAGGACCTTTTCAAACACTCTGTGGTCTGATTTCAGGTTTTTAAGACATGAAATCCCCCGTTTATTCTTTAGCTCTCTTTAAAAAAATGCATTATTGTTATTAGATTAGAACCTTCAATAGTTAGTAAATATATAAAT